GCTGCTACAAAATATTTACAAAGCCAAAATAACGTGATTTCAACCATTCTCCCGGGTACGGGTTGCTACAATATTGCAACATTGGTTTCATTGTGACGACGCTAAAGCCGAACGAGTGCGACACTTGCTTAGCGGCTTTCCTTATACGATTTGCTTGAATCGTTTCCAAGGAAGCACAAACCAAACGGCCGGCCCTTTTTAGGGCCACGACATATTTCAAAAAGAGAATTACCGTTCCTGATTTAATATTTACTTTTATAGACTTGCTGATTGTTATGATTCTGAAAAAAATCAGCGGTGAACGCGCTGCCCTTTGCGTTCACCCCTTGTTTTACGCAATTAACAATTTTTATAAGTATCACGACAGACTTCAACGAATAGAAAATAGTTTTTTTGTTTTGTGTAGAAAAAGACTTCCTGGGCGTGTGCCCGGATATGACCTCAACTTCTTTATTGTGTCAAAAGTGCGGGGTGGGCGTTTGTCCAAGCATGGGCTCTTACCCGGATAAGTACGGTATAGGTAATTGGAGCATGAAGACCACTGCTTGTCAGTCAATCAACGTAAAAATACAGTTAAGGGGCACCTCTCTGAATTTGTTTGCATGTGTTACACAACAAAAACGTCAAAATGACTGACGATTTTTGTATATTCTTAGCAAGTTTTGCTTAGCCTGTGCTAACCACCGTTTCCTCCAGTGCATGAACGCAATTTGGTCCATCTGATATGCAAACATACAAGATTAACTTAAATCTTAGGCAATACTTCGAGAAGTGTGGTCACTACTCAATACACTATAAACTCATCATGAGAGATACACATATCTATAGGATTTACTTTACTACCTTGTTATTCAGTTTCATTGTTACACTTCAAGTACATAGATAAGGAAATGAAGATTACAAACTATTATGAATATATTCATGCATGTAACATTGTATTCAAGACAAATAATACAAATGTGTTGTTTCAGAAATGGGCTAAAATAATACCAAGTACTGATAGGTAGATTTTTATTGCATCAATTTTTAATTATGGCTTAACTACAGACATGACAAATGAGGCCATAGTTGGTTTTTATGATAGATTTCCTTAACAACGTGGGTTTATTATTAACTGAATAAAGGGATTAAATGTAAATAAACAAATTGCAACAATGATGAATGTCCATAGCTAAATTGCATTAAATGAAGTTTCAATTTAACCTAAAATACTGGCAATAAGAATATTCATTTATGTTAAAAAATTACAACCTTGTTTACGTAAAATAAATATTCTTAGACTAGTAGCTTTGTAACATATTATGCAAGCATATGCAAGGGAAGAGTATATCTGTATACACAATTCAACAGCAATTTTATTTTTAAAGACAAACATGACAAACACTCATATTTATTTTAGCGGAGAATTCACACAATACCCATAGTAATATACATTATATAACAAAATGTTATCATGATTTTTTAAATATTAAAGTACAATGTATAATGCACTAATTGATACATTTTCAAAATAGTTAATATTTTCTTCACTGTTAAGTGTCTTAATTTTTTTTTTTAAATATTGGCCTTGATCTGAAATTAGATTCCAACGGAATACCGAAGTTCAAGCTCTTAAATTTGACATTAGACATGGTTTAAGTTTGACGTGTTTTATCAAATCAACTCACCTGAAATAATTGATTAACAATAATTGTTTTGCCTCACAATGTATATATTTTAGTGGATTGCCGAAGATATTCGTCTTCTCATATACTAGTATATCACAAAATCGTACGAATGAAGGTCGGTGAATCAGCATATCGGCTAAAAATCAGTTTCAC